CTGGGCCCACCCTAATTGAATGGTCACAGCACAGAGATTTAAATCAGAGTGTCACAGGGCAGAGATTTTTGGGGAGAAACCAAGGTGGCTTTCTGCCACAGGCCCCCTGTGTGCTCAGTGGAGGACCCTGCCCAGTGCTCCTCCAGCTTGGTGATCGGCCGAGGGGGACCTCAGGTGCCCCCCAGACCCAGAAGGCACCAGTCACTGAACTGGGGGGTGGGGTCCCCCGTGTACTCCACAGCAGACCCAGAAGTGGACCAGAAGTCAGAAATATCCAACCTTGAAAATCTGTTCCCATTTAACACAGTTTTCTTCACAGCTGCTTTTAACTCAGTGTCTAGAGCTATTAGTGTTTACCCACAGCTGACTCACTGGTGGTCCCTCTACTACTACTACTACTAAGTGATCCTTCAGCAAAGCCATAGTCAGGGCTTTAAGTTCAATGCAAGTCTGACCATGCACTCTAAGTTTTCCTCACTCTCTCCCCAACAGTAGATCACATGAATGGTCATATGGAGGGCCCACATGACTATGGTATTGAAAGGGGGCATTTTGCACTGCCCTCATTCAAGTTTTCTTGTGGTTGATGTCTAAATTCTCTGGAAGATCAGAGAGGAAAATGGCTTGAGACTCTGCCCGCTGGTGTTGACTGTCCCCCACCATAGGCATGTAGCCCTCCAGGGAGCCCTGTCTAGAAAATATAAGCAGCCATTAGGCAAGGTACTTGAAGGGGTTGGCACATTCTGACTTCCAAGTATAAAATGCTATAGTATTCTGGAGTAACAGTCCCCAACTAAAACCCACATTAGTATGACTGCAGTGTTTTAAGCTACTACTACACAACTGGTTTTAACAGACCTCAAACAAAAGAGCCATGATAACCTGAAGGAGGAAGAGAGGATGAGGGAAGGACAAAAATGAAGGAAAAGTCTGGAAAGGGCTTGTGGGGACAGGGAGAAATTTAACTTTTCAAAATAGGAATTTTATCCTATGGAAGATTGGAAGGAAAACATGGGAGAACACATGGTGAGGCTTAAAACTAACCTCTCCATGGACAGAGTATATGGCTTCACTCTGGCATGTATTCAATCCTCATATTTCTAGCACCCTGAATGAAAGGGACCTGGGGGTAATAATAGACCATAGTATGAATATGAGCTGGCAGTGCAATGCTGTAGCCAGTAGAGCAAATAATACTCTGGCATAAATCAACCAATGCATCTCCAGCAAAGCCAAGGAGGTGATTCTTCTGCTCTACTCAGCACTGGTGAGACTGCAGCTGGAGTACTGCATCCAGTTCTGGGCACCGCACTTTAACAAGGATGTGGACAAACTTGAAAGAGTCCAAAGAAGAGCCACCCATACAATCACAGTCTTAAAAGGCAAGCCATATGAGGAAAGGCTGAGGGATCTGGGACTCTTCAGTCTGAGGAAAACAAGGCTGAGAGGGGACCTGGTAGCAGCTTACTGCTACACTGGGGGAGTACATCAAGGGCTCAGTGAGCAACTGTTCACCAGGGCACCCAAGGGGAAAACCAAGAGTAATAGCCACAAACTCCTGGAAGATCGATTCAGGCTCAACATTAGGAAAAACTTCTTCACAGTCAGGGTGTCCAGACCGTGGAATAAGCTCCCTTCACAGGTGGTGCTATCACCTACCCTGGAAATCTTCAAGAGAACAGTAGACAGTCACCTTGCTGGGTCACCTGACCCCAGTTCTCTTTCCTGCTTGGTGCAGGGGGCTGGACCTGACGATCTTCCAAGGTCCCTTCCGGCCTTACAATCTATGAATTTGTGATCTTAAACTAATTTCCAGAACAGGACATAATGTCATACCTGAAAGATTTTTACTTCAATGCAGATTTAGGCAAAAGATGGAGTACTAAGGAACATCTGGAAAAATATATCCATTGATTAAAGAACCCAACAAGCAAGCAAGCAAACCACCAAGGACAAAAACTAGCCAATTCATTTTTTAAAATAATAATATTCCCTTTCTCCCTTTTCCAGTTTGATCAAGTGTGAAATTCCTTCTGATATCAACAATACTATAAATGAAGGCATTGTTAACCACCTCTTCAAAGGGTGATACAGTTCAATAGCCTGAAAATGTGTTGAACAGTGATGCATCTCAATAACCTAGAAGCATCTGTTCAGATTGGTCTTTTTGCATTCCAGTCAGCTACCAAATCGGTGAGAAAAATACAATCACACTAAATGTGCTTCTGGATATACTAGAAGCTGCAATCTGCAGAGTGTAACCAAGATGCTGGCTCTGAACTCTCCCCTTTGCTTTTTTTTTTGTCCTCAGCAATGGAGGCATTTCCTTGCTACCAAACAGATGGCTGAAACAAACATCTTTCCTAAATTAAGCTACATGTGGAAGCCTAGAATCTATGTAGGGTACAAGAAAGCTACAAGCTGGAAGGATTGGAGGGGTGGGGTTGAAGGAGGGAGGAGGAGGAAAAGACAGGAGGTGGAGAATAACAGTGAAAGCAGCAGTAATACAGCCCTTCGGAGTCTGCAAAGCATCACAGGAGCCTTTGGATAAAGAGATGCAGCCTTACAGCAAGCCTATACAAGAGAAGATTTCTGCTCAATGGTGAAGCATGGTGAGTAGTATGTTTATCATCTGCCATATTGTTAGTGTGAGGATGCAATGGAATTCCTTTTGCTTTGACACCCTCAGTGAGACTCCAAAGGATGGAGAGCTAATTTAGTAAGATTGCTCCCTTTGGCAGTAGGCTGAAGCACCATTCTCAATTTTATTTTATTTAATTTTTTATGCATGTTTTTTATGTTCATGTTTGGTCCTTTTTAAAGCAATAAATAATTGTAAGTGACCAAAACAGGCAAGGTTAATGCTTTGCTGGCTGGTACAACAGGCTGCTAGACTCAGCAAGCAATAAATGCACTGTTTCCTTTCAGGTACACAGCAGAGATTTCTGTTCATCTCTTTCCCCCTGGAGACAGGCTAATGATTCAATAGCTCCCTGTGCTGGAGTTTGCGCTGCTGTCTTGTAAGGTGTAATAAAAATGTCTCAAGCAGTTACGTTTCTCAGGTTCAGGTGCAGAAGGACTAAAAAACAGCTTTGGAGAGCTAATAATGAAAAGGTTTTGCCAAGGAAGGCACCTCCTTTTGTAATGAAGTCTCCCTTCTATAGTCATGAGTGTAGTTCTGTCTGTTTTCCCTTGGCACATAGCTGCAAATGCTAGTCATTACTGGACCTCTTCAAATAGCTAATCAGGGGAGTGAAGCTGGTGGCTGGGCGCTAACCATTGTGCTGAACATGCAGAGATTCTACAGCTGACATGCCCTGGACAATGAATGGGGGAAAGGAATGCGTGTTTATTCTTCACCCTTCTTGGTCTCTTATTGTGTACTCCACACACTTACATACACAAAACCCCTTTGAGTATCGAGCAGCTTAATTTTACTATTACACAGTATTAACATTACTGAGCAGTTGGCAGTTCAGACTTTCTTATAGCACACTGCTAATGAGATTAAATATTTAACTATATATCCTTCTGGTATTCTGCAGTTGTATGTAAGATTTTACTTTATGTACATGATGAAGCTAAAACAAATAAATCAAAGTGGTGTGGGGGTGTTTTTTAGTTCCTAGTGACAAAAAAAAAAGCTTGACCTAAATTTATATGCAAATAATTAGGCATTCTGGGTGATCAGTGAGAGGCAGGTGATAAAGAAATAATAAAAGAACACACTGAGCAAATAGTATGATCCCCAACATAGGTCCACAAGGCAGACAGGTTTATTTAAAATAAACATTCTTCTGTATCCTGAACAGTTAGTGTCACTTATTCTATTTTTTTTCTTTTTAAAATGGAGACAAGACACTAGTATATTGACAAGTTTAAGCGTGAAGATGAGCAATGCTGTAAACACTTCTTTGGTTTCCAATATAGGGAAATGTTATACCTGCTTGTAAGAAACAGAACTGCATACTACCTTAACTGCAGACAGGATATTACCACTCCACAGCAGGGAGGCTCTTTATTGACTTATAAGAAAAAAACCCCATTCACATAGTGGAACTGCATGCACATCACTGTTAATAGGACTTTTTTTCCATTAGCTTCAGTTTGTGAGCTTCCTAAGGAGAGTTAAGTGTTTGTGGAAGTAAATGAATTGTATTAACCCAAACAGAGCCCTTTCTTTAGTGAGACAGAGAATACTCTTCTTCATATCCTGTAAATTGACCTTGCTTGTAACAAGTGTTAAGCATTTGTACCAACCACTGACTTTTAATGGATTCTCAGCTCTCAGACCCATCTGTTTATCTATCTATGGGTTGCTGCCTATCATCATGCTTTCTTCAAGTTACTTAGGCAAGCAGGGTGAGATCCCCAGTGGGTTTCATGGAGCCTTCTGGTCTTTTCCCTTCTCTACCATTCAATTGCTTTACTAAATATTTAAGAGTAAGTCTCATTTTGGAGTTTCTCCTTTTTAACAATACAAGTTTCATTACTGGAGCTACAGCTGATATTTTCAAAAGTATCTCTGACATCGAGGACCCAAAGTCCCACTGACATGACAACTTTTGAAAACAAGACTAGGATACTGTGGAAGAATTTTACTTTTAGAAGACATTTCTTCTGTAAGCACATTTTTATCATTTCAGTTTTAAAGCCAACTGAATATTGTGCAAAGGTTTTAATCAATTGCTTGGATTAGTCAAGCAAGCTGTTAGGAACTGTTTTGACCAGGGATTCTTAACCAGGGTGCTCAAGTGCAACAAGTGCCATGCAATGTTAGCACTGTTACGTCTGCAGACACATTCACAGGATAAACCAGGAGATTTCAAATGGGAATCCATAGTGTTAAAAACATTCTGACCTGTTGTGATCTGAGTTTTTTGCAACAGATGAATTGCTCTATTACTATTTTGTAGTTGTAAAACAAATGAAAACTAAGAGCTGGCATTTTCTAAAGGGTGTCTCAAGTCTAAAAAGGCTGAAAACCATTGACCTAGTATGTGGAACTGTGTTTGCGAAGCAAGGTGGGAAAGGTAACTTTTTAATAAGAAGTTAATATTTAAGAATAAACTATCAGATTAAGTTTAACCACACAGAGAATAACTGAACTTTCTCTAACTTTGATCATTTCTAGTCTTCATGACAATTACACATACAACCAAGCAAGGTAGCAGGACTCTGGCTAGACAACTAATATGATTGTGAAATTAATTACTTATACATACAAGACTTATTTTTCCCTACTTAGCACAAGCAGTGTCCATCCAAGCTTTTGCATCAAGAGTTGATCCAAATGCCCTGTTCTTAGGCCAGATTCTGCTGTTGAATACAGATATACACCCTTAGCAAAGCCAATGTTCATAATCCCCACAAAGGCTGATTTTAGCAGGATAGCACCCAAGTGTAATGATGTTTCAGCCCATCTAGAGGCCCTCATGAGTAGTTTGCTTTCCATTGCTTTAGGAACTACATGACAATTTTTTTTTCAGTACAAGGGGAACTAACCAAAAGCAACATCAATCTTAGAAGTCAAACGTCTTTCCACAATCTTCCCAAAAGGGGTATATTCTTACATCATACAAATGGGGGGATGGCCACCATGCCTATGTTATAAGCCATATTATTGAAATCTAAGGGGGTGTTTATCCCAACACTTTATTTCCATTATGGTCTTAGTTCAAAATGTGGATCTAATTGCTTGTTTAGAGTCTTGTAAAACCTCAAGGCCAAGTGCTGATCATGATCAAGAACGGCAAGGATACACCATCCTGGTACTATCATAAATGGGAGATAGTTCACTCACAAAAGTAGCATCAAATTTCTTTGGCCAAAGACTTCATTACATCCAAGACAGTGGTAGATGATGTTTTAACTGTAGGCCAATAGGAGATTTTAGGCTGTCTTTTACCTAAGTGAATTTGACAAGTGAATTTCTGATGCCAGAAAAGGAGATCAGCCAACTTGGAAGAAGGGTACTCTCAGAGCTTGTTGAAACTAGAATACATCAGTTCTCATTGGACTGACAGACAGTTTTCAAAGGTTCCTGTTATTTTTAGTGAATTTAATTGCAAAACATATTTCCTTTGCAAAAATGTAAATCAGCATATCTTTTACTTCAGTAGAAGAATTAGCTTAAGTGGAAGTTAAAGGTAAGAGCAGAGTAATTAAAAAGGCATGAGGTCAGGCAATGCAGTAGCTGAGCATACAGATCAAAACATGCATAGGGATAAACACTTTTAAAATGAGAAGATATGGATGACTTGCATTCATGAATCCTAAATGTGTTGGCAGAAGAGATTTCTGGTCCACTAATGTTAATGTTTAATACATGTTGGGAATCTTAGGGAAGTTCTAGAAGACTGGAAGAGCGGTGATGCTGTGCCACTTAGTCAAAAGGACAAGCAGGATGTCACAAGTAACAATGGCCATTTGTACATGCCATGGGGGTTTACTTCAGTTTAATTCTCCCTAAATTGAAGTGGTGGGCTCTGCAGGAAGCCCTGCAGGCAGCCTGGCAGCAGCCCGGGAAAGCAGGCTCTGCCCAAGAAAAGCAGCAAGCCCGATATCCCTGCTCCCCACCCCCCCGCCCCTGCCCGCCTGCCCAAGCTGTGTGGGAGCCCAGTGTTTCCCTCCGCAGCTGCAGTGCCCCTGTGCCGGGTGCATACAGGCAGGTGCTGCCTGGGGGGCCACTGCTGCTGCAAGCACCAGCCCCTCACACAGCCCAGGGACCACTCTGCCTACCAGCAGCTCACCCATCCAAGAGGCAGGTAAGTCAGTGGGGTGCATGCATGACATGGGGGCTTAATCATCCCTAAATTGAAGTGGTGTTTTTTTAAAACCCACCACTTCAATTTAGAGCTCTTGTTTTGTCTACACATGCCCAATGTCTACAAAGTCAACCAGACACATTCAAATTAGAAAATAGGTACATATTTATTTTAGTGAGAGGGATTAACCTTTAACTACTGGAACATGCTATCAAAGGAAGTGACTGACTAATAATTGCTGTATTATCCCTTGACTGGTGGTAGGCAATTGACAACATCTTCAATTATCTATCAACAACTTGAGATTTCCTAATCAAGACTGGGCACTTTTCTGAAAGATGTGTATTAGCCAAAAATAAGTTATTGGGTTCAGAGGAATGAGTGAGGAAAATTTACTAGCTTCTGATATACAAGAAGTCAGAGTAGCTGACCAGATGGTCCCTTCCAACTTTATATTCTGAGTATTTCAACCTGGAAAGAGCTGATTTAATTCATCAACAGGTGGTGCTTGTTTCTATGGAAACAGTTTCTAACCCAACATGAAGTGATGTTTAACAGTCTCCTGTTCTCCACATGGAAAATATATACATCTCCACATACATATTTGCATCCACAGAAGTAAGATCCATGTGATAATTGTAGGCCATGTGATAAACACAGAATCATATGATGAATTATTTAGCAGTTACATTGCAAGACTGCCTCAAGGGCTCAACCTATCAGGCCCATTTTGCAATAAGCACCCTACAAATATGTAGCAAGAAAGTGCATCAAGTTAATTTAATGTGTACCTTTGTCTGTTGTTCTCTGCCCACAAATCCAGTTAGGACTGAAACATTCCAAGCCTTTGGAGAGTGACAAATAGTTGCCATTTCTTCCTAAAATTTGGAATTTCCTCTAAAAAGCCCCATCATGAGGGGCACACTTTAGAGCTGGGCTAGCACAAACTGTTCTAGACACAAAAATGTTACAACACTAAAGTTTATTATCTCACAGCCCTTTAGATGCCTTTCAACTAATGAAATTTCCCAAAGAGACCCAACACCTATTTCTACCTGTGGAAGAAGTTATGTCAAAGATTTTGCATTCATAATATATTTAGGTTGTAGAAAAGCCTGTTTCAGTTGTTTCTAGCAAGCTTTATGGCTCTTTTTGAATTCTGCACTTGGTAATTCACAGCTGGCTTTAAAGGAAAGGAGTGTGAAAACATCCCAATAGTCTATACTCAGAAGTTTTTCAAAAATAGTTTTTCTGTAGCATCAGTGAAATACAGTTACGCAGTGCTGCAGTGAGGCATAAGTGTTTCTTAGCAGTTGTTAAGAAAGCTCTGCAGAACTCATGAACAACTCTGCCTCTGACTAGCAGTGTGAATTTGGTATTGACACATTAAACCCTTTACCTATCACCCTACCATCATGAGTTCAACATTATACACACTCACACCACACTGAAGTTTTCCATCATTTCCTACCTTTCCACACTGGCTGCAGACAGACTTCACATTTATCCCAAGATAAACCAATCATATAGATATCCATGTCCATGGTCCCAGGATAAATCCTAAAAAAAAGTTTATCAGATAAGAAGTGTTAACAGTTGATCCCTTGCAAACTGGGTCTGGACAGTTATCCTAGGTTTGCAACATTGAATCAATGGCAGAAAAGCAGCAGTGCCTTCAGCTGTTCACTAAACCCTGATCAGAAGGGTGGTGAGTGCATTTGCCAATCCCAGGATATTTTTGTTCTTGACAAGGATGGGCACCATTTATTCAGGGATAAAATACGACATCTGTTTCTAGCAACTGGTTACATACAGGCTCATTATACACCAGATATAGCCCCCATCAGAATTTGCTTTATGCCTCTTGATTGTCAGTCTGAGAAACCTGACAACACTTTTGGAGGTGGGGGGGGGACCCCACAGTTACAGGCTTTATTTTACCACCATCCTACCTGTTGGCCTTGTGGAAAGTGATGGCCAGAACATTGTTGTGCCTAATACAGCTCCTTGGTGGTCCTGATAGCTGCTGCAGTTTAGAGGACTACTAAAGCTGATCCAAAGCATGCCTTTGAATTAGACAAAGCCCAGGACTGGAGTGGAGGGATGTAATGCTGGCTTTAAAAGTGCCCTTCCTGACTTGTGCTGAGTGTATCTGTATGTGAGGATTTGATCCCATGTTTATTTTTATACACCTCCACTGGAACACTATTTATTCTACTAAGGTAGCTATGCACAGTAGGCCAATGAGTGTTAAACACAACACTGCACTGCTCATGTGTATTTCAATACTGCAGTAATTTATTCTTCATTCATTGCTGACTGTGGGGGCTCTTGATCATTTTAGTTATGGTACATGTCTAAATGATGAAAAACTGGGCAAATTACAAGCTGGGGTATAATGCAGTACAGCTCTAAATGGAGTTTTTAAGAACACAAGAACTGAAACAAAAATATTGGGACAACTCTTTTGTCCAAGATTTTAGACTGTATAAGAGCTTGCAGTAAGTCTCTGAATCTGCTGACAGACACTGATATAAGGCCAATTATTTCCAATATTTACTGATGTCAGGATGAAAAATAAGGTGCAGTGTGTTTCTGGAATAATCCCTATGAAGCTAAGACTGTCATGACCAAAATAATCATGAGGGTATTTCTGCAACATGAACATATCAAATTTATTGAACATTGTAGCACACAGATGTATACAAATATGGAATGCAGATACATTTAAAACTGAGCTATTCAATGTACAATGGAAATATATTTTGCCACTACACTGATGCTCTATATTTGGTTATTGCAGACTTAAAAATCTTCACAAATCCAAACCAAAGTGTTTGTGACACTCAACTGTGACTTAAAAAAAAATGACTGATTTTTTTTAAGAATAAAGCAATGCTACATAAAAGTATATCTTGTATTCAGGTGGAAGTAAAAAACAGTAATTCATTTCTAACAAGTTTTCCAAGCAAAGTGACAAGGTTGATGTATCTTCTAGTCACTGGCAAGGACTGCTCTGCAGAGATTTTCATATGAAAAGAAAATCTCTTGTTTTCTTTAACCCCTCTCTTGCCAGATTTCCCTTTTGGGGGGTTTCCTCAACAAGCTGACTTGACCAAAACCCCAAGTTAGTGAACTATTGCCTCCCCATGGTAAACATTTGAAATAATCCCTCACAGATAAGATTTCTGCTTTCAGAAGAGAAATTTTTTCTATTTGTCACTCTATCATGGCACTAATCCTGTATCCAAAAGCATCTCCTTTGTAGCTGATACACTGTGCACAGGCCCACCAGCCACAAATCTACAGTGTTGTCTGCTTCCTGCTGATTCTTTCTGCTTTCATAAACCATAAGTTCTGGACGGATGACTGCACACTACAGTGTAATTTATATACAGCAGTTTTGGTATGCAAATTGCACGGGAATCAGCAAGTTGCTCATGGTTAGATGAGCAACTTCTCTAGTTTAGTGTGTAGTTGCACCCCACAGACAACCATTACAGAACCGTGCCACCCAGTGGCAGAGGAAGCAAGTAGCCTGTTCGCCTTTTGCAAACAGATGCTCCAGCAAACAAGTACTCCAGAATGGATATGGACATACACCCACCTAGTCTGGTGCAACTTCTATCAGAGTTTTATCCCTCCCCCCGCTTCCCAATTCATTTAGGGGTAATTTTACACTGGATTGGTGAAATTGCCACCAGTTGAAGGGATTTACATTGCCTGTCTGCTTTATTTCCCCCACCAGTAGTCTAATGTTCTTTGCACCAATGTAAGTGTGTAGTCCATCCTCACACTTAGAAGCAATATACTGTATGTTTCACTTGAACCCTTTCTCAAGCAACACACCATGACTTACTGACTGAAGTCTCTCACAATAAATGCCATCAGTTACAGTGCGTTAATTTCCTTTCCCCATCCTCTATTTCTCTCCTTGCTAGCAAAATACACACACATGTTAATGGTGTTTAGTTCATGGAAAATATATGCTTAACCTGGCAGGGTCATGTTAAAGATTATCAGCTGAATGTTCCTTAGCCACATTCTAAGGTCATATTTTATTCTGCTATTTCCTCTACAGAAACAGGTGTGATGAAGCAGCATGGAGCTAAGGAGAGGAAAGACCTTCATTAAATCTAGTTTCCAGCTGACCCATGAGAAAACACCACTGGTACATGTAGTTCCTATGGACAAGGACAATCTGGGAAAAGATAAACAGCTCACAGCTGAGGGAAGTCAAAGCGAAGTTGAAGTTCAACAGGCGTGTTTAGTTGCACACAAAAATTACAGTATTTCCAATAGAACAACAAGGAATGGGGCTGGTGAAACCATCCCGTCTCCATCTGGGTCTTCCTACAAACTAGTAAGAAAGAGTAAAACTCATGACTGTGTGATAGGGGCAGACAAAACTGAACCATGGAGCCACAAGAGCAAAGCTTGTGAGGTGGGGTCTTCTGGAAGAAGCAAAGGGCGACTTGTCAACAGCATCAGCTTTTCTGGGGTGTGCAACACCCTGAATTCCAGTGAGAAGAAGGATTCAGTTGTCAGTCCCAGTCAGTCCACATGCAGCAGTCAACAGATGATAGATTACAGAAACTTTGTGCCACAGATGCCTTTTGTACCAGCTGTAGCAAAAACTATTCCCAGGAAGAGGATTTCCCTCAAGAGATCTAAGAAAGGGCTCAGGGATATATTTCATATTAAAAAAAATAAACCAGAGGGTTTAACACTGTTAGTTGAAAAGGACAAGCAGCTGTCTTCCCCAGGGTGCAAAAGTGAGGTGTCAGGCAGGCTTGGAAAATATCTTTTCAGAACTGGAGAAACATTTGCAGCTGACTGCTTGGCCCAAGATTTCTCAGACAGTGAGATGCAGTCCGACTCCTCCTATGACTACTGCAATACACTGTGTGAAGATGTTGCTTCTCTGAAGAGTTTTGACTCTCTCACAGGATGCGGGGAAATCTTTGCAGATGAGAGTTCAGCTCATCTGGAGCTGGAAAACAGCAAAGAACTTCTTCTGAAGAGAACCAAGCAAAAAGAGAGCCCTGTCTTAGGGTCTTTCCAGGGCGGGGTGGAACAGCTGGCATCTCCTGCTCAGAATGAGGCAGCTGACTTTGCAAAATTTTGGGACAACATCAACAAATCAGTGCGATTGCATCAAAGTGCATTATTTGATAAGAAGCTATTGGAGATACCCAGTCCTGACCTGGGAAAGGTTGCAAACACAGCTGCTGCTTCGGTGGCTGACCTGCAAGTGTCACCCGATAAAGACTGTGACCATTCCAAAGAAAGTTCCATAGACACGGGGACACCAAAAAGCGACCACCAGGAATCCACATCCACCAGTGATGAAGGGTACTACGATTCATTCTCCCCTGGGCAAGATGATGAAACGAAGGAAGCTCAAACGCCTGGGATTCCAGGAAGATTTCCAAGAGACAGTTACAGTGGGGATGCTCTTTACGAACTATTTTATGACCCTAATGAAGCCAAAATAAATCCAATCCTAGATGATGAGCTCTGCCTGTCTGAAAGTGTGTCAGAACAGGCCATTGAAATCCCCCTATCAATTTACAGCTTTCATGTTGGAGCAGAGGAGAATATGGCTTCCCAGCCAGCGGTTGACATCATCAGCCAGGGCTTTCTTCACAGCACATGGAAAGGCAAGGAGTGTTTGCTAAAGCTCTGTGATACTGAGCTTTCCCTGACCATGGGAATAATAAACTGGCTGCGAAAACATTCAGGGTTAGTTTCCCCCACAGACTCTGTGAGCAGTCCTAAATCAGAGGTGGAGGAAAACAGAGATCCGCTAGTCTCCTGTAGCTCTGATCCTTGCCAAAGTCTGAACACAGCAGCTGAGAAGGAGAAACAAATCAAGGGAGAACCTAATCTTTCTAACCCAGAGCCTTCTTTGGGTTATAGCAAAGTTGCGGGCCAGCCACATTTAGTAAATGTTGCTGAAAAAGACCAAACAAATGTTTCTGGGTCTCACACACCTCATGAGTATTTCCAGGAAAGGGAACGAAATTGCCACAGAGACCTGGCTTTTGAACCTGAGTGTGCAGAAGCCAACAGCATATCAGGTAACATGCCAACATCAGAGGTTAATGGAGGCTATTTGCAGACATGTTCACCTGAAAGAGAGAAGATGGCAGTTTCAGAAGATTGTGAAACACCAGAAGACAAAAATCTTTCATCTGGAGATCTGAACAGGGAGACTATTTTCCAGAGCTCTCAGAACTCTTTCTTAAATGACAACCATGAAGTGGAATCATGTTATTCCTATAAGACAGCTGCAACCTCCCCAATGGATCCCCTAGAGACAGCAGATGAAAATAAAACAACGTACCATTCTTTGTCTATTTCCTGTGACAAACCAATGCAGCCTCTTACTTTGAAACATTTTCAGAGCTACGTTAGCCCCACACAGACAGAAAACAGCACTAACATTGTGCAGCTTTTGGAACGCTGTGTAACTCAAGTTGCATCCCTAAAAATCAGCTATGAAAACAAACACCGGGAAGACAAATGCATTGGGAGTGAAATGAACAATATCATTTGTAAAATGTCTCAATACAAAAACAAGTTATTGTTGCAAAATGAATGCAACTGCATCACCCAAAGCTCAGAATGCCCTGGCTTTCTTTATGCAAACGAATGTAATTATGAAACAAGCTTCAAAGCCAGTGATTTGTATCACATGAAACAAAATGGGGAACTAATTTGCTCTGAAGATCAGAAAAACGGAACAAGTATCCTAGATCAGATGAGTCACATCACCAGGAATGAAATCAATTTTGAATATGCCCAGTTAAATAATCAATCCCTCTCTTATTTAAAAGACTTCAGCCTTGAACTGAGCCCAAGTGATTCTGTCACTATGACACCCATGAGCAGGCCTACGTTTTTACCTCTTTTCAAATCTGTTTGCTCAGACATGCCCAGTGAGTTTTCACAAGCCTCCCACAGAATGAAGAGTTCCCCAGACAAACCACTGCAACATAATGAATCTAAACAGGGCAGCCCCTGCTCGTGCAGTTATACCGAAGGCCACTACAAAGTACTGTCTCAAGTGGCCACTGTGCCTCATAACCCAGAGGTATCTGCCACAGAGGGAGCAGCGACAGAGAGGAACCATAAATAACACACCTGCTTTAACAAGGTGAGTGCTTGCAAAGAAGATTACTTGAAACAGAATGTGAAATACTGAATGAATAGCCATGCCTTTGAAAAAGAATATGGCCAACACGACCACATAAACCCAGTATATATATATATATTTTGGACTCAGAGTTTTACCAGGTTAATAATATCTCTTGATAACTGATTGATAGCAAGCAATAAAGGGGAGGGAAGCAATCAGAGTTTCAATGATATAGACTTCCAAAGCCAAATTTTTTTTCTTTTCTTTTTGCTCTTGGTACATGTTAAACTTGTCATGATCACGGTTTCATGCAAAAAAGGCAAAGAGAAGAAAGGCCCAGTTCTTCAGTTCTGCCAGTTTTAACCAGGTGCAACTCTCTTAGAATCAATAAAGCTTAATTTTAGAGCATGTGGTAGATCTGACACAGGTGAGTCAGTAGAGTAATACATGGCAGTGTTGACTATTTGCCCAGGTATACCTGCACACATTTATCTAGCAGTTTACTGGAAAATACAGACTATTCAAGAATTTTCTTTATTTCAGCTATAAAACCTGCCATATTTGAAACTGGAGGTCAAACATCTCTGCTAAGCCACACAGTACAGAAGGGTTTTATGCCTGATTTTCCACATCCCTTGCCATTTAGTAAACTGCAATTATGACATAGTGATAGATTTTATGAGTCTTCCCTCTGTTCACTCCAGCAGTGATTACAGGGCTTTGCTTGCAGACTTCTGGTCAGAGCACCTTTGTGGGGAAAGAATTAATAGTCTGGAGGCCCTGGCCAGAAGCTGAAACCTAATTCAGGGAACCAGAATTTCTAATAAGAGACTTTTCAGCTCTAAAGTTACTGGAAAATAATATGTGCTCAAACCACAATGAACCATGATATATAGAATAGTAGTGTCTAGGGGTCAACTGTGAATGGCTGTGTTAGGCACTGTATGGTGATATGAGAGGTGACCCCTGTTCTTGCCACCACCTGCTGCTTGGAGTTCCACTTTAATGGTGGGTTTCTGTGCATCTATCTCCCTACTTTCTGGACAATCAGAAAATGGGAAGTGGAGGGAATGATATTCTGGAAAGGAGTTGGCTTTTTCAGACCTGAGGGAGGGTAATGCCATGGAGGTACATCACATGATTAGGAGGGCAACCTGATGCCTGCTAACCTTTCAGCCCTTTGAAAAGTCTGATGAGGCTTGTTGGAGCCCCACAATCTGTGCACATGCCAGGAGATCGGCAATGGCTCTCTAGCACCCCTTCACAGGCTTGTGCCTATGGGTCTCCTATAAGCAGCCTTCAGAGATCCTGCAATACATGGGGAAGAGCTGGAGAGTGGGCCAATCTGAGAATCTAAGGAGCAATTCAATACTGTAAGAGAAGGAACCGGTGAACAACTAACAGTTCTCTGTGGGCTGCAGGAACCCCGTGTCCAGTGGTTCACAGTGGTATGATCCCTTTGTTGTAAACCACAAATGGTTTGTCAAGCAGATATGACAAGGCAAGGAGAGGGCTTCTTCATGTGTGAGCTCTTGGCGTGCTGAATCCTGATATCTGCCAGACCTTAATGAAAAACTCTCTTTCTTCATCAACGACAAGCAACCCAGTGGTAGCCATCAGATTGCATTTTGAGGTATTTCTGCACAGAAGAGAGCTGAAGACTTTTTTTTTTTTAATTAAAATGAAACACTCTCCAGCAGTCATATCACATGCTTTACTAATATCACCTCTAGTTAATAACTTAGAAATTACAATATCTATTTGCCGCCCATATTTTGGCGACATGCACCAGATCTTAATCCAGTAAGATATGGTGTTTTTCCCACTCCTACTTCATTTTATCTAGCTACAAAGGCTGCAGTTTGGGAATTCTGGTGAGCAGTTTTAGTTCTGTAGTCTCATAATTTGCATCTAAACTACTGATTGTGATGCTAATATGGACTTTCTGTGGAAAGGGGCCCTCTATCAGTTTTATAATGCAACCACAACTATTGCATTATAGTAATATAATGCAACCACAACTATGGCTATTACTCTAATATATTTAGGAAACAAATTCTGTATCTTTTGGTTCATTTCAATAGGTGTCTTATTGCTTTTCCATGTGTAACGACAGTTTATGTTGGCCTCCTCTTCCAATATAGTTCTCATAATTTTATCTTGCACCTTACCATGAAAGAACAGATGTAGCTTCTGGAATAAGTTGCCACTAGTTTGGTTGTTCTTAGCAAAATTAAAAGTTCAGGCTGGGAATGAGGAGAGATTAGTGGTCATAGGTGTCATGAATGTAAATCACTAGTGACGGCTGCATCTTTACAGAAGGGAACCATACCTGTATTTACTTAGCATTTCAATTGTTATAGCTGAAATGTATGCCTGGGGTGCTGCTAAGCAGAACCATAAACTCTCAGGCTAGGAATCTGCAAAAAGAAATTGCTCTTCTGAAGCAAGAGTTAACTTCTGCTAGAAACAGAGGGCAGAATAATGGCTGATGCGACTGTCAGAAGTAGTAACTCGCTGTATCTTCACACTGTGAGAGATATACTGCAAGTAGACATTACTGGACTCAGGGCATTTTCTACTGCATCATATCAAATGGCAGCTGTTATATGCCACCACTTGTCAATGTAGATACCTGCAGCATCAGGAAATATGACATAGTTTATATGCCACAACCCATGCTCCACAGAGGAGTTAGTTTTGGTGCTTTCTTAATGGGTTCTGATAGTTTGTGGTACAAGATTTGTCTGGCAAAGTAAAATGAATGCACATAGACATTATTTTAGAGCGTACATAGAATTTGTGTATGTGTGAGGCAAATGCTGAAAAACCTTGTTTCATGGAATCCTGTTACAGACCTGCTTGTTGTTTTTAAGTCCTTATTGACAATTAATTTATGAAATAATGAAACTGTATTTAGTACAGTAGCAAGGATTAGCTGTGGTGAAAGCTATTAACTCTGAAATGTGATGGAGTTTTCCTGGCCAGCCTTATCTTTTCTGAGCTCATATTAACAGATGGCTCACAGATTCATTTGGCATTTTAAGTTTTTGGAAGGTGACTCCAGATCTCTATACTGGAAGGGACAGGAAAACAGCAGAGGACAAATGTGTGAGCTATAGAGATGCAGAGAAGCGAAGCAATCAAATAATACTCCTGCTCTTGGCTCAAGTGCTTAAACCTAGAGAGGGCTCAGACATAAGGAACACCCTGGGGCTCATTATTTTAAAATGTCACAGTGGGAAAGGCACTGTGGTGACAGCTTTAGAGACTGAATTCCTATGTTAAACTACAGAGCAAAAGCAGCACAAAGAAGCCTTCACCAGTGTTGCCCACTGGCCCACTCACAATCCTAGTCCTGAAGGAGGGGGATCAAATGTGAATTCAGCCTCTGGCCATTCATCGGGGCTGGTGATGTTCCAATAGTGTTGATGGTCCTTCAAAATCAGCCCAAAGGAGTCTATGTCTACATGTCCCACTCCCCACAATGACAAAGGACACCTCCCTTTTCCTCAGTTGGCCTGCACACTTCCCCTTGGTTGTATGAGACCAAGGACATGGCTGCCCTTCTGGATCCAGGAGCACATCTCTATCCCACACCTGCCTGCCATGACATCTCTGCATCTCACCCTTGCATTCAGGCACAGCAGCCTAATGAGTCATGACTCTGGCATGCAGCATGACGACTAGGAAGTGAGATTGAGCTTTTTCTGGTTCCTTTCACTCCCCTTCAGTTCCATGGGAGATTTTGCAAATACTACAGATTTTAAGTTACAGGAAGTCTAAGTGCACTAGCAATGCACCTTAAGCAGGAAATAAAAAACCCAAAACTTTAAATCCTTATGTAGATATATGTACAGTACTTATTGGACTCCAACATTTCTTCAAATATAAGATGACCTCTTGATAATTAGATTTATATGGGGAAGACTGATAAATTTGTTATGATTTTCCAGGCATAGAACCTGATTATTGGAGAGTTATCTTAAATTCCTGCCCACCACTGCTGCAGCAAGGAAAGCAGCAGCATGGAGGCAAGCAGCGGAGAGGAGTCAAGGGGCCTGATTCCCACCCCTTGTCCCCTGCTGCCTGTTCCAGACAACAACTTTCTACCCCTCCCACCTACTCCCCACAGTGCAGGCACCCCCTTGCATCTGCCCCCACCCACCACTTATCTCCCTGCGTTAGCCCCTCTACAGCCCTAGGCATGGAGTGCACTGTGGTTCTAGCTCCCACCTGGGCAGGCAGCAGTGGTTGCAGTGCTGGCAGTTCTAGCCCCAGGACTGGGTTGGAACTGGCCCCAGGGCTGGAGCAGTGCCACTGCTGCCAGGCCGGGTGGGGGCTGGAGCCACTATGTGCTCTGTGCCCCAGGACAGAGTGGGGCCAGAGCCAGAGCTAGAGCCACAACTGAGGGTAAGTGGCAAGGGTGGGGAGAGGTGGGGGCAGTGGCTGCAGCTCTGACCCTAAGCCCAGGTTAGGGCCAGAAGTGCAGCTGCAGCAAGCTGCCCATCCCTCCCTTTTGTATTCATATTCAAGACAAAGGGCCTTCCTCCCATGTTGCATGGAGAGAAAAACCTCATCTTGGATTCAAGTAAATACAGTACTTGGGACATATCCCAATGGAGTTTACCAGTACAAAATACTATGAACAAGATTGACAACACATCCCTCTCCCTTCCCTAGTATAAACACATTGCATGGGTCCGTGAATGGACAAGACTTTACATGAAAGTCTAAGCCGCACTAAATTTTAGTTCTGGTGACTATTGGAAGGGGCAAGTTGCAGACGTTTGAGTTTTCTGCCGAGGATGCCTGACCATGGAGGCTGTCAAGCAGGAAAGCCTTTGCTTTGAGCAGGGAGAAACTGTTGTGAGGGCATTCTCAATGCAAAAAAGAGGCTCAGAATCCCAGAACTTCATTGTGCCACCCTGCTGGACACAGATTGAGAGAGGAACTTTTACCAGATAATGGGTCCAAGGCCATTTGAGGATTTATAGATCTTATATATTTTCAACTGC